CATGAAAATCCTAGATATGGCAGGAGGTAAGAGCGAGGAACCCAACTCCCCTGTGGCAGCTGAATATCTCCACTCATAGTCAGGATGCACTATGCTAGCCTGTGCCAGTAAGCCTGGGGATAGTTTTAAACCAGGGGATGGTTTAAAACTGCTAAGGGCTAACTGAAAGGATAAAGCAGCCTGCAAACCCAATATACCAGGCTGAGCAAACCCAACAATTTAGAATCAAATCTCTGCTACAATTTGCTACTTTTCCTCAAAAATCTGAGAAATTACCTGAAAAAAATGACTTCTGCCTCAAATAGATCCCTCCATGCCTGAGTTGCTGAAACACCGACATGCTTCCCATACTGCAGCATGCTGAGCAGCAGAGGCAGTCCAGATGGTAAACCCACATAGTCAAGCCTTCATCTACTGCTGTCATTAAGATGACTTTAATGGAGAGAAGTATCAGTGTATTAAGCAGTGTATTAACTTGAGATAGGTAGGGTGTGTCAAAGGGGAAGAGAGGTGATGCTAGATATTGAGGGAGGATCTGTACAGAGCATCCCCTGAACATTGTCAGTACAGAAGGCAAACCTGATTCAAGCATTAGCTGTATTTTTCTCCTTCCTAGTAGCTACTTCAAGATTTAAATGCTCTATTACCAGTTTCCTCGTGTTTGTTACTGAAGAAATACCAAGGAGGATAACCACAAAGCTGCCCTCTAGCCCTCAGGCTCACACCTGCCTTTGTCCAGCTCTTTATTGGTGGTCCTGCCACAAAGCCAGTGGCTGGCCAGCAGCATTCTCCCAGCCACTCACATTTCTTAAAGCCAACAGTATTAAAGTTCAGGAATTTAGTCCAAGCAGGAACAATTCTGATCGAGTCTGTTTCCCAAATGTGACAAGTGTATGCACAGTCTTGTCCTAGAAACACCCCCAGCCATCACAGGAAGACTCCTGTTCCTTTCACATTTCTTTCTTCTTCATCCTGTTGCTCTACTACTGATTGGGCTGAAAGGCACTCATCAGGCATCTTCTCGTTTTTTCTGCTTTAGAAACCATGGCCACATTTGTGTGTCTTCATACCTATCTCAGTGCTTCCCCTTCCACTGCTCTTCTGTTTGCCACAGCACTGGGAACAACACTGCTTCTCTTCAACAAGGGTGAAATGCAAGCCATTACCTTCAAAATATACCAGCATTGACATGATTTCTGGTTTGCCCTCATTATATGTTGGGAAGACTGGGAAACAAGGTGTTTTGGTGGGTAAAGAAATACACACACACTCTGGTGAACTATAAAAAGATGTCACCTCTTCAAATAAGCTGTTCTCTGTGCTTTGTATGCAGCTGTCCCACTTCTTTGAAACCTTTGTGGGAACTTCCAAATATAGCTATACTGCAGGGCCAGTTCTGGTTATCCTGATGCTGAAGGGAAGCCAATAGCAGACAGCAGCAGGTCTACAAGTTAAAACTAAACAACTATCAGGAGATCCCATGGCAGCCCCATGAGGCAGTGACATGACATGCCAGGATGCGAGGTGAAAAGGGATCTCGAGTTGGGATGAAGCCTGCGAGAGCTCAAAACCACCCCAGGAGGCAGAAGCCACCACGCTTACAAGAAGCTCAGGCTGCTACAGAGAGGGGGATACTGAGATACATCCATCAATTGAAACTGAGATGGGGAGAAGGCAAAGCACCCCTGGGCTCTGAACACAAAATTCAGGAAGAGGAGCCCTAGGAAAAAGAAAGTAGAGACAGATCTGGAGGTGCAGAGGGATCCATGGGTGGCCTTTTGGGTCAGTGAACCTATTTTGTTCACTTCATGGTCATGAATTTGTGCCTCCCCCAGGCATTGGCCAGCTCATCACCCAGTGCACTGCTGCTGTTGTTACTACCAAGCTCAACTCTGCTGCAGGCAGTGGTAAGCAGTGTTGCTGTACTAGTTTCCATGGAAATCAAAACCAGAGAAGCTGGTTTCCACCAAAATCGTATTAAAACCACAATTTTGTCCCAAGTAGATTATTTTTGTTATCGTTTCTCTTATTCTTTTTCTTTTTTTTTTTTTTTTGTGCACTATGCAGTACAGATGAAGCTGGATTTACTTTAATGACTCAGATTTGTAAAGCACAAGTTTAATCAATATGTCAAGCAGAAGCCGCTATTTCCATTCAGATGGGATGTCTCAAAAATAGGCAAGTCTGAACACTTACCCAGTGTCATTTTCAGCACAGAAATACTACCTTGTTCTGGTCTGGTTTTAATTACTGGTCAGTCACTGGTTAGATTTAAGCAGCATTTCTGAAACAGATGCAGATCAGTCAAAAAAGGAAAAGGTTGTTCACTTAGCTCCTGTACTCAGACTCCCATTGCCCAGTGGCTCCTTTGCAACATGCTGCAGCACAGAAACATTTTTTAACATAGCTCTGGGCTGTATCACAGACATTTGCAGAACACCTTACAGAAAAAAAGTCATAGGAATGTGGATGGTTGCTACCTTGCACTCAAGCTAGGAGAGTGATGGAGGGGCAATGCCTCCTGCCTGCACATGGGCACTGAGTTCTCCACTGGAGAAGCAGAGCCAGAAGCCCAGCATGCTGCAAATATCCTGTTTATTTTCACAGGGCAGTGCTCTGCTGGCTTTTTGCTACTATAGCAGCAAAACAAACACACTGAAAACAAGGGGTTTTTTTAGGTATATCTAAACATCTAATTTCATTATTTGCAGTTCTCCAGGACTCCTTTGCTTCTGTTTTAAGTGCTCACAAGTCACACTGAAGGAATAAATCTTAGGCCCCCTAAAAGAGAGGGATACAGGAGCTCTTCAGTTGTGTTCACCAAGCAGTAGAGACCAGACGAGAAAGGATGCAGGAAGCATATTAGGATGCTTGCCCAAAGGAAGAGCAGCAATCTTCTGCACTTAGTATGTACTTCTAAAAGGCTGAAGAAGTCCAGTTAGAGGGATAGAGTTATCCCCTTCCACACACTCTGCAGCCCAGTAGCCGAGGGTTTTGAGAATGAAGAGACATTCCAACAAGGTCTCTGTATCAAGCAAATCCCTTTTAACAAACTGCAGAAAATGATGGTCTCTTAGCACCTAGATTTGTTACTGAATGTAGTTTGGAGAATACCTCTATTTTTAAGAAAATAATCTGCTTTGTGAGTGCTAAAGTGAAGTATTTCAGTATTTAAAAGAACCCAAACAAAACAAACAAACATGCAACAAAACCAAATAACACATGATTTGCTTTGTTAGACAAAGCATCTACCGAATTTGACCCAGCTGCATGACTGCTGGGGACATGGTGATTGTATGTTTTCAGGCTCCTCCAAAGAAGTTACTCCCTTGTAATTTTCCCCACACTTGGTTCTAGTTCCTTTTGAGACACCTGTTTCTACTCCAAACTGTACTCTACTCTTCTCGAACTCAAACTCAACTCTACATACGTCATGTATGTGTCAGACCATTGCACGTTTGACCCTATCCTCCTCAGAGGGTAACTCATTCTTCACACATTTCTCCTTTCCTCCAAGCCCGCCCCCCCCCCCCCCCCCCCGTCGGCTCTTCAGAAGATCAGTATATCATTTTCCAAGACAGGACTAATTAAAGTATTCCCATCCATCATTACAGCCTAAGAACTTCCTGGTTTCTAGGACACTTCGGAGATCATCGCTCAGGGTGTGCATGGCAGAGCTCCAGGGACACGGCCCAACTATGTTCTGCTACAGAAGCAGCACTAAGAGAGGAAGCCACAACTCCTCTCCTTTTTATTGAGTTCCCACAGCACTCAAACACCAGATATACCACCGGGCTCCATGGGGGAGCACTGGTTCCCCCCACAGCAGCTGACTTCTAGAATACCTTCACCCTCCTTCCAGAGACAGATGCTCTAGCACAGCTGCTTTCTGTAGAAGCAGACCCAGCAGATCCTAGTTTGAAAAAGCCTAGCAGGCAGTTTAAGCCCCCATTTTAAAGTCTCCAACTTGACATTTCTGGCTGAGCTTTTTTTTTTTAATAATGTGAGGTTAGGAAAGCTTACTCAGCCTCCTTGGGGAATTACAGTATTTGAGGCTCAGCAACACGCATTCAAGGAGGCATCTGTGGGTGGTGACGCTTCTCTGCCCTCAAGCCAGAGGTAGAAGTAAGGTCTCTGGGAGGCTTATGTAAAAATAGGCAGGCTGATAGCCCGAGGAAAAGATCAAGTAACAGGAAGAATTAATTCTCCCCACCCCTACCTATTTCTTTCAGCCTGTAAGTAAGTCTATTAATTGCCAGAAAGGATATTTGTCTGCCTATCCAGCTGAGAAGGACTTCTTCAGTCCTTTTCAACTGATATGCCATTGTACCCTAGAAGTATCTCTGCCAGCTCCAGCAGTATGCCTCTAGAAGCACCCCAGGAACCCATGCAAAGAACTGGGATATGCATGTCTGCGGAACAAACCCAGTGAGAGACAGAGGACAGGACCGGCAAGGAAGGATGCTCTTTTCCATTAGAGGAAGTTAGGGGGAATAATAACTGGCTGAAACACTTGTTTCAAAATGGATTTTATTCCAGGCATTAAACCGATTCTGGCACATGCTTTATGAAGAAAAAGGAAAACAAATCTGGGTTCCACATAAATTACATCTGGCAAAGAGCAACTTACAAGTGAGTGGGGAAAATAAACCTTTTGAAATTGATTTCTGTACAACAGTAGTTTCAGCTCCTCTTGAATAAACCCCCATTGGTTCACAGCACACAAAATTACATTGGATGTTCTGATACAAAACCAGCTGTCTTTAAAGGCATTACCAATGCAAGTGCCCTGTCTTGACAGTGTAGGGGGCTGCTTAAAATAAACAGGAAAACAAGAATGAGCAGCTGCTTGTTCTAATTGTTAAAGAAACACAACACTGGGACAAATTTGGGGACTCCGTCAAAAACCCTACCACAGTCCTGTTCCAAAACACGGCACTACATGGACCTTGGAGAAGAAAGCAGAGATAAGGTTGTTCTTCCTTCCCTTCAGTGCAAGGGAAATGGAAAGTATGCTAATAATGAGTTTGGACAAGACTTTGTTTATTCTGTGGAGAAGTTCAGTTTGCCCACTTGAAAGCAGACTTTCATAATGTACCTCCTTTTCAGGAACAGCTAAAATACATTGGAAACCAATGGCTTCCAAAAGTGTGGGGAGGTCTATGTCTAGATAGAGCAGTGGTTTGGCTGACAGCATAGTGAGCAGTGGGGAGCTGACCTCAGGAGAACATGTCCAAAATCGGGTAGAGTTTTATTTTTTAACTCCTAACTCCAGAAACAATTTGAGTTATTGACATCTAGCATATTGACATCTAGCATGTCCACCTGTTCCCCTTTCTCCCCAAGGCCAGCTCACAGCCCCAAATGGCTGCCAGTTTACTCTCTGTCAGGAGGAGAGCAGTAGCAAGAGAGGTACAAATCAACACAGCTAGTCCAGGTGTATCTTCTCCAGGAGCAGTCAGTAACCTCCAAAAGTGGAGCCAAACACACAGTCAAGGGCAGTAGCCATCATGCTGACAAGAGCCCTTTGAATTAGGCCTGGCCCAGAGCTTGGAGACTGTATAAAAGCAGAGCTTCTGTGGTCTGCAGCAGTCAGGAGAACTGTTTGTAGAGGAGCTGGGTCCTAGTCCCAGAACGGTTATGAAGAAGGAACTGCAAGAAAGCCGCACACACAGTGGCAGCAAGGAGGAAGGACCAGTACGTGGTGGAGGAGTGAACATGCTGTTAGCTTCAACCCTTAAGCTGCTGGAGAGTAAAATGGGGGAAGCTTAGGTGGTCCACTTAGGATGCATTTTGATGAAAATATGCAATCCTTTTGCACTTCATTGTATACAGAGCATCCGTACAGTACCTGCTCAGTGGCCCTTCATCTGTCTTTGCTTCAACATTTTTCAATCCAGGTATGTGAGAATTTGACTGTTCCTGTCTTCTGTTCTACAATGATGCCATTCTGGGAGTAGCATCTCACGTATATTCTTGATTAAAAATGCAATAGCTAATAGGATGGCATTTCTCCCTTTGATGGATCTGTCTGTCCTGCCCTCTTTCTATTCCTAGGCTATTTTCCTTCCTTCTTTGCTGTCTTCTGACCTTGGTGTTTCCAACCCAAAGCATCTCTATACAGGGAAAGAAAAATCACCACAGAGTCAGTGCCCCCATTCCAACATGGAAATGCAGCTGCACCATTCTGTAATGACCAAAAGGAACTCCCTCATGAGTTTTCACAGTGCAGGCAGATCACTCTTCTAACTAATCAGTGCCAAGATAGTGAGCAAATGTCAAAGTGAATGGGGAGACAGGAAAAGAGCTCCTGCCACGTGACAGATTTAAGTTTTTTAAACCGAGAAAAAAAAGCATTGTCCAGTTCTCACACAAGCACTTCTGAGCACATGCAATGTATGAAGAACAGCATCTGTTCTTTTGTCAACTGTTTGGGCTAATACCAAGCTAAGATAAAGAATTAAAAAGAGATACAAACATGATCAAAAGCAGCCAGCTATTCAGAATCCAGATGAAAAACCTGTTTCTTCTACATCACATCAGAAAGGACCCAGGCAAGCAATTGCTAATGAAGGTGGTCCTACCATCTGGTTCCCCAGTCAGGCTCTTGAAAAAGAGGGTTAGTTAACAAAACCTAGCTCAAGAGGAAAATTTAACAGATTTGAGTAGGAAAAGGTAAGGCAATGGGGAAGTTTTTATTTGTTTGAATAGGTAAGTGTCACCTGGCAGGTCTGAAAACCCACACTCAGCTAGAGCTGACTGATAACTGGGAGCAGGACTGGGATTCTAGCTAGAGATACCAGTGTCTTTGGTATTTCCAGAACACAAAGGAGAGATCTCTAAGGGGGGGCCTGCACTGTGGCAGCATTTGTGCAGGGGACAGTTTAGGCTTCACCAGCTAACTAAGGTGCTCACTGGGAAGACAGAGGGGTGTCAAAAGTAGGGCAGCCACCAGCCTTTTTGCCTCCTCTTTCTGAGGGGGAAAAGCAACTAGACAGAGGGATTGAGTGGCTTGTCATGCCAGGCTGTGTTCACGAGGGCTATGCAGAGCTAGAGAGCCAGCACGAGGACTGTGGTCCTGCCCAGCCAACAGCAGGAAGTCTGCTATGACCTAGGGGCTGTCCCCTTCTGCCTCTCACAGCGGGGAACTGGGTGGATTCCTGCCACAGGCCTGAGCCATATGCAGTGTCATTGTCTGTGTGTGCTGCCCACACAGACAGGTATCTGTGCATCACCTGGGGTGTGGGGTGCAGTGGGCAGTGTCTGGTAACACCAGGAAGAGCAGCCAGAGAACAGTCTCAGCTTCCCTGATATCCCAAAGTGCTGGCACCTGTTTCTGACTGGTTCCGTCAGAGCGTGGTACCCCGAACTTGCAGGCTGGGATCACTCTTGGAGGCAGGGCTGGCCTTCCACATTTAAAAAAGCTGAAAGGAAGAATTCAACAGGGAATAGTCCTAAAACAATCCCTGGTAACGCTGCTAAAACAGATTGTCCCTTTTCCCTCTCTCTTGTCAGCATTGTGCCAGCCTCAGCACATTTGGCTGTAGGGCAGCTACTGTGGGCAAAGGATGGAATGGGTCCACTACAAAGAGGTGACAAACCTCTTCCCAGGGTCCACTAGTTCTTTCTCAGCCTCTCCACTCATCATGATGACTATTCTGGCCAGTCCTCACTGACAGAGTGAGGTAATGAGAGAGAACATAAATGATGCACAATGTTAGAGCAAAAAGCCAGGGAAGCCAAAGAGCTACCCATGTTTGTACAAGCATAGCCTAAGCTGCTGAACTGAAGGTCATGGAATCTGGATGCAGAAAAAGGAAAGGATGGGGATAGCTACAAGGTACTTCTGGTCACTCCAAGTACTGGGCTGGGTCCTCCCCCATCTCTGGGTGCAGCTGTGCACGGGCATCAGCTACAAAGGAGAACTTAAGACAACAGATGGGAAGATTTCAGCAACTCTCCTGATCCATCTCACCCCCAGCTTCTTCTCTGAAAAGCTCAAAAACACCAAGTGCTCAGCTGAAATGGTGGCTTACTGATGGGCACAATGAAAACATTTAGGGTCAGACATACAAAACCATTCCTCCCTTTCCAATCCCCCTCTGTTCCCAAAGTCTCATGCACAAAGAAACGAAGAGATCTTTGTGCTACCATCATGTTGCTTGTAGCAGCTCCCACTGCTGGCCAGGTACACCTGCTTGACAAGGATTGATGACCATTCTTCCAGATTTGTTTTCCAGGCAGAGACCACTGACAAAGTGTTGAATGAAACTGCCTTTCATCTTCCACTTCTGTGAGAAGACACAGAAAAAACATGCTGTTACTTCCATTTCACCACACAACTGTGACTTCAAGCCGAAGGTTGAGCCTAAATATCAAGTAAACCCCAACAACTGGAGAGAGTGAAAATATGGGTATGGACAGCATCTCCAAATCACTGGTTTCCTGTATTAATGACATCTGGAGTTAGGTAGGGTTAGGGTGTAGCTGAATTATAGGGCTAGATACTCAGAAGCATCTAGAAGGCAAACAACACTAGCAGTCACAGCACCAAGCCTGACAGATTTCAAAGAGTGTATGGACAATGCTCTTAGGCACATGGTGTGATTCTTGGGGTGTGCAGGGCCAGGAGTTGGACTTGATGATCGTGATGGGTCCCTTCCAACTCAGCATATTCTATGAACACAAGAATCAGCAAGTAGTGACATTTTCAAACGCATATTATATTTGCAGTTTCCCTGCCATTTTCTGTCCTGCATCTCCATGCAGCCAGATACCTGTCAAAACCCTCTGTGATTTCTTTCCAATCCATGGAGAGCAAAGCATTGAAAGGTCTCCCAACACAGAGAGAAATATGTCCACACTTCCTACTGTTCAACTGGATCTCTCTCTCTTCCATGTCCCCTCATCTCTTCTCTCATAAAATTCAAGATTTTTGTGAGCACTACATTGAAAGCTCTTCATAGTTCTGCACCTTCTCAGCTGTCTCTTCTTCATAATTTTATTTGCCCTGCCAACATTTCAGTTTATAAGTGTGCATTTGACAGCTTCTCAGTGCATATTGCTCTGCTTTCTGCAGTGCTTTCCTCTGGATCTGCTCCCCTCACAGCATATGCACAAGGTCCCACATGCAACCCTTTCCTGAAGGTCCACTTTGGTTGTGCTGCTTACCAGGAAACAGAACATATGCTGTAACCTTGCACTGCGAATTCTGCTGGGAAAGGGCTGTACCTTCCATCCCTGCTAGTAAGAACTGGGAACATCGTGGCTAATAATGAAGAGAAAAAAGTAAAAATGAGTCTGTGGGTTTGGGATCTCCCAGGTGAGGCAGTGCCATTCACCTCCAGTGGGACACAGCTGAGATCAGTAGGTTATAGGATTGAGGGGTCCAGGCTTCAGGGATTTTCCCATCATTCTTTTCAGTCACACAGATGACCCAGATAGAATTATGATCTGGGTGCTCAGTCAGTAAACATCTTAGGAATATTATGAGGATGTGCTGGTTAACCCATGAGACAGATGGAGAAAAAGAAACAATTTGACAACACTAATGGACTTCAAGGCTATTGCAGAAATGATATGCAAAGTGAATAAAAAAATTTCCTGCAATATCTGGACAATGTCAAAACCTACAAACATTTTAATTCTTATGTAACATGGCAAAAAGATTGCCACATGGTGCATGGTTTAAGATATCCAGTTATGTTCATATATTGCTGGTAGCTGTCCTCCAAATCTGTGCACTGGTTATGTTTCTTGGAGGGCAGGGCAATTGCAAAGCTCAGAGTAATCTGCTGCTCCTGTATCACATATTCTTCAAGACTAAATACCAGAGGCAGCATCAATTTGCCAGTAGTGCTAGTCCTGTTTGACAGGATACTTCTAAAGAAGAGCTGTTTGTGCAGCAGGAAAAATCTGGTTTTAACAGGTAAGGGGGCAGAGGAATGCAGTGATGGTGGACAGGAAGCTACAATGCAGTCTGTGCACTACAATGCCCTCACCAGCTGCTGCAACCCACTGTCTACACCCAGAGCCATCTGGCTCCCAT